CCAACTTCCAAGGAACCTCCCTTGGGCCTTCAGGTTCCTTCCTCTATAAAAATGCGGGCTGGCAATTCTCTGCCTTCTTCAACTCTCCGGAAATCAATGCAAAAGATCCAGGAGATGCAGAGCGAGTGAGAAAAGAGCCAGTGGGGAGCACCACTAGGCAGTGCTCCTTCCAGACAGCTTGCTGATGTGAAGCAAAGGGCACTTCTGCCCCACCTCTCTGCTCAGCCATAACACTTTCCCTGATGCAGGGCAGGGGTAGGGGGCCTGTTTGCTGGTTGGCCTTCCTATAAGCTTCCAAGACCATCATATCATTCTCCCTCAGCCCCCAGAGCACTGACTGAATCACCTCCCAAGTCTTCCTGGGCATCAGGGCTCAATCATAAATTTCAAAACTGGGAGGAGCTCAAAGATCATCCAATCCTGCACCTGATTCCTCATACTATTGTACGGCAGCCCAGTGAGTGGCCACCTAGGCTCTACTTACATAGTTCTAGTGACAAGAAACTCACTACCTCCTAAGGCAGCCCCTTCTTGCCCTGGACCAGCAGTTCTCAACCTGTGGGTCGCGAAGATTCATAACAGTAGCAACATTACAGTTATGAAGTAGCAATGAGAATAATTTTATGGTTGGGTCACAACATGAGGAACTGTATTTAAAAGGCCAGAAGGTTGAGAACCACTGCCCTAGACCATTCTCATATTTACAATGTTCTTTTTCTACTGCGCTGAAATCTCTGCATCTGCCACATAGCTAGCCTTTGAGGCCACACAGCAAAGTCTCATTGCTCTTGCCTTCCATGTCAGCCCTCCAAATGTTGAAGGAAACAATCCAATTCAGCTCATTCTTCTCTTCTTTGTGCCAAAACATCCCTAGAGCTTTGAGAAGTTCTCCGGATCCCCCTCCATCCAGGTTACACCCCTCTGGACATCCTAATTTGTCACTATCCCCATTAACGGCCAATACCCCAAATGGCCACAGTCCTTAAGAATGATGTGACCAGCACAGAGCAGTCTACACTAACAACACCCAAATGCCGGCCATTCTACACCCTTTAAAGCAGTTTTCAAGGCTAAGCAGTGACCTCTGATCGGAGACTAGAATCCATTACAACTCTCCGCACACACAATAAGACAATCCCCCCACATCAGGACCTGTCTGTTTGACGGTAAACATCAAACTAGATTTTTTTCTTCCTCCAAAAATCTCTGCCTGGCTCTCTCAGCCTCTGAGGGAGCTGCACCCAGTTGGCCCATCCACCGCCATCAAACACAGCCCGGCCCCAGCTTGGGCACATCTTATCCGAGTCCAGGTGACAACAGGAGAAAAGATGACACCTTCAACCCCATAAACCAACAGAGATGGTAGGCCCAGTGCCTCCTGCATAACACGGCACAGCCACCCACTGAGTTAAAGACATCGGCTCTGAGTGCCAGGGGCAGGAAAGAGGGGAGGCAGGCTCCCAAAGCCATGAATCATCCCCAAGCACCCCCACAGCTCCAAACAGCAGCCACAGACTCAGCTCCCGTGATGCCTGGAACACGCAGACCACAGGCCAATCCACTGCCGGGCCGACTCAATTTTCTAGTTACAGATCTTAAGTACTTAGGCGTGTGCTCGCCAGAACATACATCCCTTACAGGGAGCTGCGAACGGGAATTGTGCCGAGGAACAGAATAATTGAATCAAGATTTCTGTCACGCTGCTCCCAGGTCCTAGACCAAGGCCCGCTTTTGTTTTTTTTTCCTTTCCTGACTAAGGTTTTACAGACTCCCAGGGGGTCGCTCTTCCTCTCAAACCCGTTATGTCAGCGGCGCTGGCAGCCCATCCAGGGAAAAGGGGAGCCGGGTTAAGCTGGGCCAGTGTACAGGACGGGGCAGCTCTAGAAGCCCAGCTGGCAGCACTGAGGGGCTGAGACAAACCAGTGGGAAGACTGTCTCTTTGTATCCCCAGGAGGCCCCTGCACTCCTTCCTCCCAGGCCCTGGGCAGAGATGAGATGATTATTAACTTCCTCAGCCCCCACCATCACCGCCCTGGAGAGAGGTGTGCACAGCCCGCCCCTGACCCCTATGGGTGCCCCTCTCACTGCAGGACACCCAGCCCCTCCCTCTCCTCCAGGCTCCCTCACAAAGGGGACACCCACCGTGTCGCCCTCACACCCTCCACACCCTGCTTCATATGTGGACATGCAAGGTCTTCCCAGAGGCTCAAAGCTCAGCTCACAGGGCTCTGCCAAACACGCCAAACACACCTTCCTCCACTCAAGGGGTAAAGATGTGGGGAGGCCAGCGAGAATTCCACAGCCCCAGGCAGCCCCGCCTGCCCCTCCCCATGTCTCCATGTCCAGGGAAGGGCCTGGGCCTGGGTGGGGGGACTCAGGCGCTCTGCAGGTAAGGGGGTGCTCAGCGGGCATCTGTGCTTCCACCTCGGACTGAGTGCCCTGGAGCAGATCCCGCCGGGCCCATCCCAGACAGGGCTGTGCCCGCATCTCTTACCTTCATCTCTCTTACGCTTGTTGGTGTCGGCGCTGGGGGACGTGATGCCCAGGATGCCGCTGATGGAGTACGAAGAGCCCGCGGAGTCTGTGCTCACCGAGGACACCTGCGTCACGGAGCCCGTGGACACTGTGCAGAGGGAGAGGGCGGTCAGGGCCCGGCAGGAGAGGGAGCAGAGGCAGAGGGCGCAAACAAGGGCACTCGACCTACAGGGGGCTGGATGTGACTGCCCAGCAAGCACGAGGAAGTGCAGGGACAGGAAGAGGGTGTGTGCCGGAGCAGTGGCCACACCTGGGTGAGGAGGGCGCCCCTCGGGCCATCAGCCCAGGTTCTCTGCTGCTGGGAAGGATGACAGGGGAGGAGGGCAGTGAAGAGGACTGACAGTGTAGAGAGGAACAAGGGGCAGCGTAAGAAGGGCACTCGCTCAAATGCCAGCCTGTCCAAGGATACAGGAAGCAGGGAGATGGAGAAGAGAAAGAGAGGAGCTGGGGCCTACCACCAGCCAGTGCGCAAAAGACCTAGACTCACTCATTAGGCGGGTTCGCTCCCTGTTTACATACCCACCCATCCATGCGGACCAAATTCCTGCTCCCTCACACACATAGCCAACAAAATCCCAAATGGCAGGCTATCCCTTCTTTTTTACAGTTCCTCACTGTCTTTTCTCCTTCCATAGATTTTAATATGAATCACATAATACTGATAGAGTAATATATGTAACATATAGTTATACTGGCATATATATAATGACAATAACTAACATTTTCTGATAACTTACTCTTATGCCAGGCATTGTCTCATTTAATCCTGCAAACACTCTTATAAGCGAGATTATCCCACTGAAAAGGTAAAGGAACGAAGGCTCAGAGAAAGTAAGTGACTTGCCCAAGGTCCCAGAGCTAATAAGAGGCAGAGTGGTGACTAGAACCCAGAAACTAGTCTTAACCCCTATAGCAGTGGTTCTCAACCTTCCTAATGCCGCGACCCTTTAATACCGTTCCTCATGTTGTGGTGACCCCCAATGTCATTGTTACAAATTGAACATAATTAAAGCATAGTGACTAATCACAAAAACAATATGTAATTATATATGTGTTTTCCGATGGTCTTAGGCGACCCCTGTGAAAGGGTCGCTCGACCCCCAAAGGGGTCGCGACCCACAGGTTGAGAACCGCTGCCCTATAGTAATCTGTTCTTCACTAATTAGTAATGAAAACCAGTAAGAGGCTTCACACAATGCAGTGCTTCTCATTTGATGCTGGCTATTATTTATCCCCATTTATCAAATGAAGAAACTGAGGCTTCACAAAGGTGAAGTGACTGGCTCCCAGCCAGCCAGTGAGCAGTAGCGCCAGGGCTCAGCCATGGGTCTACTGCGGGGAAGTCTACACTTCCCCTGCCCAGAAATGTAGGCAGAGGCCCGTGACTTGTGACTGAAACCAGATCTCTGAGTTCTTCAGGATAAGAATGGGGGAGGGGAGGTTTTTGTGCAAGGTTCACATGAACTCCGGGCCTCAGAGTCCGAGGGAGAGGCCGGCCCGTCAGTGGTCAGGGTCCCCCCTCAAGCTGTGCAGCTGAATTTCCACTTCTGGGCCGTGGGAATTCTTTCTTGGTTCATTAAAACCTACAAACCCGATCTCAGACACATTTCCTTGGGCTATAACTAGCTGGAGGCAGGTAGAGCCGCCTTTGACTGGGCCGTGTAGGAAATGACTAGAAATGGTGGTGATTGCGTGAGAAGCTGTTTGTTGCTTTCCTTGGAGCAGGGCCAGCCCTTGCTCCTACAGACCTAGAGGGAACGGTGCCTTTCTTCTCGCCTTTGAGTTTGATTTTAGCTCTTCCTTAGGAGACACAGAAGTAGAAATCGTTAACTTCTCTTTTCTTTCAACAGAACAAGCTACTCAAAATAGATTTATGCAAATCTCACAACCTTTTCTGTATTAAGGTGCAAAGAACAGAGGAAGAAGGAAGATCACAAGTCATCGGTACTTTAAACAACAACAACCCACAGATAACCAAGGGCTCACCAGGTTGCTAACAGAGGCAACGAGATTAGTTCTGATATTTTGTGATTTACACTAAACTCAAAAGGCCCAAGTTCCAATTCTTGCTCCACCACTTACTGGCACTGGGACCTTGGGCTAGTTATTTATTTAATCTCTCTAAGCCTCCCTTTCCTCACCCCTCATTTAGCTTGTAAACTCTAAGGGGCTGCACACATATAAAATAATGGTTTTCATAAAAATTTCAGACACAAAACAAAGCATTCTGCTAGCTACAAATAGAAGTATTCCTCTAACACAGCTGAAAGAGTCTTACCAGTTACTCTCGGTGTGATAGTCATTGCTAAGTGACCTGAAATAATTAAAAAGCCGCCCAAGGGAAATCTCAGCCACACACACTTCCCCGCGAGCCTTCTTCAACCCTCTAGGCCCCAGCTCCACGGCACCCTGAACTTTCTTCTTGAGCTTCATCTCAGTGTTCTGCAAACTCCTCTTTGTTACATTGCCCCACTAGACTGAGGAGCCCTTGTGAGTGGGAAGTCTGTCCTGCCTCCGAATTGAAACACGAGTCTCCAACGCCAAGTTCTGCACAGCAGGGGCTTAGCAAACACTTTTTGAATTGATTATTAAATGAAGAATGATTTCATAGCAGGGAAGAGTTCTGCCTTACCGTTCCCCAAAGAGGCAACCATGGAGGATCAGAGACCTCAGCGAGCACCTGGGTGGTGCCCCTACGTTCACAAATGGGGAAACTGAGGCTCCGAACGGTGAAGGGACTTTACACAGTTTACGAGGGGAGTCCACGACAGAGCGGAAACTATAAGCCAGGTCTCTGCCTGCCCCCCATCACCACAGGGAGTTCAAGTTTTCCATTGAAGGAATGAAAAGGTGTGGAAACGGTACAGAATCGGAGGCATGATTACGTGGAGTTGACGAGGACTGTGGCAACCAGAACTGTCAGAATGGTTGCCTACTTTCTTACAGTAGAATAACCTTCCCCCAGCTGACCAGGGGGCCTCCTTTATCCCAAGTGGAGAAAGAATATGCCTTAAGTAGACGCATGTCATTTTTTTCTCACAGTCGTTGCAGAGAAGGGAAGGGCAAGGGGAACTTCTCAACTCTTGAGTGCAGTTGACCCTTGAGCAGCACAGGTATGAAGTGTGCAGGTCCCCTGAAACGTGGATTTTTTTTTTCATTAAGTATACAGACAGGCCTCTGCATCCCTTAGTTTCGCATCCGCAGATTCTACCAACTAACCTCAGATCGAAAATACTGCTTTTGATCCGCAGTTGGGAGTTTGCGGATGCAGAGGGCCTCCTGTATGCATTGTTCTGTGCCATTTTGTATAAGGGGCATGAGTATCATAGACTTTGGTATCCGTGGAGGGTCCTGGAACCAATCCACTGCAGATATAGAGGGACAGTGAAGTTTCGGGGGGGCAGTTCAAAGTTACACTCAGATGTTTGACTGTGTGAGAGGGAGGGGGAGAGGGGGTGCCTCCTCTAACCCTCACGTTGTTCAAAGGTCAACTGGTAGGAAAGATGACTCCCCTTCTTACAAGTCATGACTCCCTCTCGGACTTCACCGGTGAGTGTCAGAAACTCCACCGGCAGCCTTTGGCAGCTCAGAGTACATGAGATCGAAGCAAGGGAGAAAGAGAAAGTTTGAGAAGTTTTGCCACATCTTCACTCAAGACTGCAAGTGCACAAAGAATTGTAGAAGGGCTGGTTGATAGAGGAAAAAAACACATTCAAAACTACTTACTGACTAATGATGCAGAAAATGTTATGAATAAGTACCCCTTTCTTGATTTATTACTTTAATTATCTGACATTCTATAGACCCCCATTAGTGGATTTTTTTTTTTGGCTTAGATTTCAATTTTCTGTCTCATGCTGAAAGCTATTTATCATAATAATCAGTAAAATTCAAAACCTTTTAGCAGTATTTATAAAATTCATTTACCGGGTTCAGCCCTTGGAGAATGACAAAGAAAGCGCATTAGTACGTGTGCCGAAGTGTTTTATGCAGAATTATCTGTCCATAAGAATGATTAAAAGTTCTTTAGAATATTTGGAGCCCATTCGATTTTTAAAATTTTTATTTTGAAGTTCTTACCAATGCTGTGACTGGAAGCTGGGACCGGCTGGTTGGGTGGCTGCTGTACTTTTGTCCGGATGATCCTGTGGGCAGTGGGAAAAAATGAACGGCTGTTTACCAGCTTAGAAAAAGAGATCTCAACTAGCTATGCACCGACAACCAGAAAACCCACATCAAGCTGGGGCGCAGGTCAAGCGGGGGCAGAGGGGAGGGGAGATTATGAACCCAGGTCAGGAGTTCGGGGCTTAGAAAAATGATGGACGAGTCCCAACTCAGTCCCTACTTCCCTGGGTGTCTTTGAGTAACTTGCACCCTTCTCTGGGCCTCCAGTGCCTCTTGTATAGAACAGGATGATGTGTTCATATTAGGAAGACATCCCTTTCTCAGAAGCAGCTCTGGCTCCATAAAGTCACTGAGTGACATTAGGGACTTTCTTCCCTTCACTGGACCTCAGCCCCCCACCCCCACCCCCGCTTCTATGGAATGAAGGGACTGTCCAAGGGACCTCCCTGTCCCCTGAAAGCCCTCAAGCTATTGATTCTCCGCCTTGGATGGCCACGGGAGGAGTGACATCCCCAGCTATCACAAGGGGATGCACGAATTGCTCTGAAACTAGAAAGGGTTAAAGTGCTGCCAAGAGAGGCTTAGCTTGGCTTTGCTAAGAAATTCTACAAAAACTTCACGAAAAAGCTTCATGGGGCTGGGCTGGCTTGCCTTTCCAGGGACCTTGCCTTAGTTCTAATAGGAACCTGATAGTGACCCTGGGCAAATCCATTCCATTGCGGGTCTCAATACGGTGACGGAGTTAGACTAGGGCACTCTTTGCTTACTTGAAGTAACTGAATCCTTCTCTCTCTCTCTCTCTCCTCTGCCTGTCTCTCTCTTATGGAAATGCCCAGTGTATAAAAGGGATAATAGCAGTGCCACCTGGCAGCTCTGAGGTCCTTCTGCAGAACCTTCTCCATGAAACCCTACACCCCGTATGTCAACCAGGGCCAAGCCAACAGTCCCTTTGAGGTCTGCAAGCAAGTTCCTTCTCTGGCATTTGGGAGAGGGTGGGCGATAATAGTAAGTTCAGCTTCTTTGGGAAAGTTCTATTCCAACGCCCCATTATTCTCTTTTAAAAGAACATGTATTAGAGTTTTCCCTGGTCATAAAAGGACTTTGTGCTCATTGTAGACTATTTGGCCAACAGCTTTGAAGGAGACATCTAAAATCACTTTGGAAAAGAGCAAAGAGCACCGTCTCCACTGAGTGCACCCCCACTCTTGTGCAGTTGACTCTTGAACAACACGGGTTTGAACTGCATGTGTCCACTTACACATAATTTCTTTCAGTAAATATAGTCGACCCTCAGTATCCCCAGGTTTCACATGCACAGTCAACCAACTTTGAATCAAAAACAGTACTTGCTTTTTTTATATATAATATTGTTTTTTTAATCTTTTTTTTTTATTATTATTGATTTCATAGAGGAAGGGAGAAGGAGAGATAGAAACATCAATGATGAGAGAGAATCATTGAGCAGCTGCCTCCTGCAGCCCCCTTACTGGGGATCGAGCCCTCAACTCGGGCCTGTGCCCTTGACTGGAATCAAACCTGGGACCCTTAGTCCACAGGCTGATGCTCTATCCACTGAGCCAAACCAGCTAGGGCAGTACATCCTTTTTAATTATTTTTTATTGTTGACAGTATTATAGATGCCTGCCATTTTTCTCCCTGCCACCCAAAACAGTATTTTTAATCTGTGGTTGAGAATCCACAGATATAAAGTGTGAACCATGTGCATTGTTCTACACCGTTTTATATAAGGGACTTGAGCTTTCAGGATGTTGGTATCCATGGAGGTCTTGGAACCAATCTCCAGTGTATACCGAGGGACAACTATAGTTAAGTTTTTAGGGAGTCAAAAGTTATATGTGGATTTTCGACTGTTCAGGGGTCATCGCCCATAATTCCTGCATTGTTAAGGGTCAAGTATATTTCCTTTATACTAGTATTTCTATGCTTATTTGGAAATATCCTTTTTTTTCTTAACAGAATCTGGATTAAATTGTGTATACAGTTTTGTATCCTGATCTTTTTACTCAACATTATAGGAAATCCTTTTTCACGTTGTAGACCATTAGTTCTAGAAATTCGTTTCAAGCTGCACTGGGTCTCCAGCTTGTGCAAATAGAAAGGACAGAAGGGGCAGGTGCCTCCACTTAACCTCATCGGGCTGTCGCCCTCTGTGATCTCACAGCTCAGCGCTGGGAACCAAGGGCACTCAGCATCCTCGGATAGTAGCCTGGATGGAACGTTTCTGTTCACACCACAGCCCAGCCACAGGCCCTCTGGAGCCCAAGCCACCTCTATCGCCTTTTGCTTTCTTTTTGACAAGTCAGCATGAGTATTGCCTCAAATACAGAGTGTTTGTTTTGTTTTCGCTCACATTTAAATCACTTATTTTCACTAAGCAAACATGGAGCATATTGACAAAGACCTAGGAGTCAGGTGGTCTTTTTGATCCCCCAGAATTAAGCTAGCATCTGATCTAATGTTTGTATTTTTGTCTGTCACCTTCTCTCTCTCTCTCTCTCTTTCTCTCTCTCTCTCAAGAGATATAGCTATGGAACATATAAGTATTCCAGACGTAAATACAGTTTTTCTATACACAAATATATGGTGAAATATACTGTAACTATTTCCCATTGAAGGAACTCTTCAAAGCAGTGTCTGGCCATTAGATTCGTACAGAGGCAAAGCAAAGAAAATTATGGTTTTCTTATTTTTCTTTTAAAATATGTATAAATCATTGGTAAAACATTATCAATTGCGATAAATCCTTGAGAGGCAGCTGCATCATAGTGATTAAATATACAGATTCCAGAACCAGACTGGAGTTTGAATCCCAGTCTTGCCATTTGCCAGCTACATGACTTTGAGAAAATTACTTAACCTCTCTATACCTCAGTTTCTTCATCTATAAAATGGGACCAACCAAGATTCATTCCTATGTCATAAGGTTATTATGAGGATTAAGTTAATAATTAAGTACCTAGAGCAGAGGCTCCTGCATAGTAAGTGTTCAATAAATGGTAAGTGTTATTATCAATGGTATCTTCATAAAGATTAATGACCAGCTCCAACCTTAAAAGGTTCATATTTTCCACAAATACCTTAAAAACTCATGGGATCCCCCCTTGGGAGCTGAGAGGAGAAGGTGGCCATCCCCACACCCAATTTTAAGGCTGCAATAGGGCTGTCTTCTATGGGTGAGACCCAAATTGTAGGGAACCAACCCTCCAAAGCTGTCCCCAGGGATAGAAATTTTGCCCATTTGCTTGCAGCAGCTGCCAAGGAAAGAACAAAGAGCACCATCCCCACTGAGAAGAAGTAACAATGGGAAGAACAAGACTAATTGAATCATAGCAACTCTAAAAAATATAACAAGCAACCTCAAGACTTATCACAGCAAGAGCCACACTCAGGACTTTTCTAAATAAGAGACAGTGAGGGCTACTTGGCAGCTCACACTGGAAGGCACAGCCTTTACTGGCTGAGCATGAGCCTGGTCCTGAGCGCCATATGAACTCCTAGATGGCCCAACAGAGAAGGGAGCTCAGCAATCAGCTGGTTTCTCTGAGTGAGGAAACTGAAGTCCAGAGTGCTCAAGTGACTCCCCCAGGATCACACAGCAAGTCAGCTCCCATGCCTGCACACTTTTTTTTTAGTTACATTCAAAGGAAGTGGTTCCTCTGCAAAATACTTGCTGTATGAGGCATAAAACCTATCTGGAGTCAAAATCCATTTAGAATCTGAGGATTAAAAGCCCAAGGAACTTTAGCTATTACAGGCATTTGTAAGGATACCATTTCAACATCACCCCCACTCTTCTGAAAGGCTAGGTCTTCTCATCACCATCCGCATACACAATGACATTGAAAGAGAAAGTCATGACGCCTTTAAAAATGAAATGGGGAGATATGGCTGAAGAGATACCCACGTCTACAGCACTGATCAAGGGTTCATTGGGCCAAGTTGGGAGAGGGCCCACAGGTGACACTCAAGCCTGTGACTGATGTGAAGGAGAAAGAGGGAGTGGGTACCCCGGCCCGGTGGCTCAGTTGGTTGGAGCGTCATCCTGTACACCAAAAGGTTGCGGGTTTAATTCCCAGTCGGGGTGCATACATAGGCAACCTATCCATGTTTCTCTCTCTCTCTCTGCCACCCTTCCTCACTCTCTAAAAATCAATGAAAACATATTCTCAGGTGAGGATTTAAAAAAAATAGAAGAAGAAGAAGTGGGTAAACAGTCTCAAAGGCTTGATTCCCAAGTTAGGATTAAGAGCAGACTTTACAAACTGTCATCTTCAGGCCACATCCATCACTGGACCATTTGTGTTTGGCTTACACCATATATTTATTTGTATTTGAATTAGTAGTAAGTAAGGAGCTCTTACATAAATAAATGGATTTCTAGCTTCCCTTGGAAAAAAAAATAGAACACCTGGCAATTCTGACCCCACAAGGCAACAACCAGTTGGTGCTCATGGAGCTGCCCCTCTAAACTGGGAATGCCACTCCACTTGGCCCTGATCTAGAGCCACGGGACTGATATAGAAGAAGGAAGCCTCCATTTCTCCCAACGTTTGGGCCAGCTCTGGGACAGTCACCTCCACCTGACACTGAGGCTGGAGTCTAAGACTCCATCGTGCAGACTATGCAGCAGCCCAGCATGTATTCGTCCTGCAGAAGCCCCTTCAACATGATGGTTTGTGTCCCAGGAAATCTCCCACAAGCCTAGCAGAACTAGTGCAGTGCTGTTTAACCCCATGCCAGTCACCATTTCCCAGGCTGGTCCCCCAGAAGACAGAGGGAAAGCACACACTTCTAGAGGGGGGACAGTAAAGATGACCCTGTGGCCACCAGAACAGCTACAAATCCAGCCACCACTCCCTCCCTGACTGAGGTATGGGAATAGGGAGAAGTGCCTCCAAGAGAGGCAGGGGCTGGGAGAGGACACTGTGCACCCTTTCACACAATGACACTTGCAAGACAGTTATTTAGAAGCTGCATCTATTGGAATGCAGTGGGAGCTTTGCTTTCCTACAGAAAACTATGCTGGGATGGCTCAGGCTTTCTTGGGGGAGGGGGAACGGCAGGCAGCGACATGAGACTGCCCCACACTTAGTTGGTTTGCATTGCAGGGTCAGTTGTTAAAGATACCAAAGAGCTCTCACTGAAGAATGTGGTGAGGAACCAAAGAGGGGTCCCGGAGAGGAGCCCCCCATGGAGGAGCACAGGAGAAGGCCATGGACCACAGAGGAAGCCTGCAGACAGGCAGCAAAACATGCAGGCTGCCAGGCTCAGAAATGCAGAGGGAATGACTGTTCTACTCCTTGCCTCTCTTCTCAGGGATCCTCAGTTCTGTCACTGGCAGAGTCCTACAGGGCAGCGGTGGAAAGAGACCAACCCGCCTCATACTATCAGGGGACCCAGGCCCTACTTCCTTCTCTATCTCAAAATCACTGTTCCTCTGCACTCCCCATCTGGTCCCGGGTTTCCGTACCTGTCACAGGATAGAGTTAGGTTTAGGGGCCTATAGGAGACCATAGATGTGAAAGCACCTTAGAAGCACAGCCAGCCAGGTCACCGGATTAGGATACCCAGGAGGCCCCTGGGCTAGCCATGGCCCCAGCAACCAGCAGTCAGGGTCCCACCCCCAACTCCCGCACAGCACAGCTCTAGGCCCAAAGCACCAGCTGATCCACAATTCCCCTCGACACTCATTCAAGTACCCCCTATTAGCTTCCTCCACATCTGTGATCACGGTTCTCTATTTCGTACGTTTCTTTCAAATATCTCACTTTTTTACTTTAATAGGGCAACCTTCGTTCTTTACTGTAAATGGGGCGGGGAGCGTTCATGAAGTTCACACTGACTGGTTTGGAGCACTGGTTACCTATGTCTAAAAGACATTCAAACAAATTCATCACAAAACCGTTTTCATCCTTGTGTTCCAGAGGATAGAAGCTGGAGCCCTAAATAAGTCATGCTTGTCCTGCAAGGCATTTTTTTTTCATGGAAATTAGTTACCACCATTTAAAAATAGAGAGTTCGTATATACAAGTATACATACATACACGCACACACCAAGTCCTAGTTTCCAGCTTCTCTCTAAGAATGGAAAAAGTCTGGCAAACACTGGGCTCACGTTCTGCTGAGAAGCAACTGCCCCTTCTATCGGGCTTGTCCTGTCTAGTTGGCCACAGACCCAACCTTTCCCTATCGTCTTATGCCTGCCCTGCTTCATTCCTTACTTTATCTGTCTGGCCCATTAGGTGTTAGAGTTTGGGACCCTCACAAGCAACCTAAAGTTATTTTTTGATCCGCCAATTCCATGTATACCCTACACTGGGAAATCTGTGGGCCCCCAACCCTGACCACGGGTTTGGTGGAGGCTCCTCTGCAGAGCAAGCTGACTGCTCCCTCACTGCTCTAGGCAGCATGTGCCCCACTCCACGTTAGGGCTTTTGGAGACCTGGACAAAACATCATGCTGCTTGTGTCATGGAAATCCTGCAACAAGCCAACAGCAGGGGATTCACAAGGCACATTGGAGCCCCTCGTAATCCAGAAAAAGAACAGGAGTTATTCCTCCCGAGCCCACCACAATAGCTGTCATAATTCGGGCTGTCTAGACTTCTATGTGCATGCCAGAATCCCAGCCTGGACGAGGAGCCCCTCTGGGACAGAGACTAAGAGACTAATTCCCCCTCTCTCTTCTCAGCACCTTGCACGAGGTCAGGCCCAAGGTAAAGGTTTACTGAGAAAAGAAAAACAGGCTAACGGTTTATGAAATAACAGGACTCAAAACATTAGCACATATTCACACAGTGATTCTGAGTCACTGTGAAAGGAATGACTGTCGGGACCTGAGGGAATCTCAGAGACATTCTAGTATGACCACTCTTTCTGGTGGGTGGGAGGAGTTCCTTAGCCCCGGTCCTTAGGCTCTGCACTGACAAGAGTACGGTATGACCTTGAAGAAATGGGAACTGCTCAAGTTTTCAGTCCGCTGGTTTCTCTTTTCTTGGTGGAGTTTATAGAAGAGTCATTTCTGTTCATCTCGCAACTTCATCCCTGACTCTGTGGGTTTAAGTGGAGTTGAGACTGCACCATCCACAATGGAAAACCTGCTTTCAGGAATTTATTTTTAAAGCTCTGAGAGCTCTGCTAGCTGTACCCTGGATTAGACTGGAGAGGAGAAGGAGCCCTGGTGGCTCCTAGGAAGATCCCGAGCCTGGCACTCACGGTATTTCTCTGGCTCTTCATGTCCATGGGTAAGATTTGGGGCAGCCGGGGAGAAGGCAACTCCCTAACTCCACAGCATCTTAGCATCCCGAACATTTCTCTTGGAGATCACAGACCCACATTGAACCACCAAGGCCCTGGGCCCAGCGACAGGAGGGGCTCTCTGCCAAGGTCACACTTTGTGTTTGCGGCAGACCTGAGACAAGGAGCTGAATCTCCCAACCCCAAGTCAGGGCTCTGTTCCCCACACTCAATGGCTCAACTTCTGCCCCAGCTGAAGGCAGGGCTTTCCTTCCTGGGACGGTCTGAGATGGGCCAGTGCTAAGACCTGGAGCCTGGCTTGTGAAGAAGTGACATTTGAAGGCCTAACCAGGACAATTCACTGTTAAGTGCTCCACACACAGAGTGGGGTATAGCGAGTGATGCAAATCACTCTAGAGCAGCGGTTCTCAACCTGTGGGTCGCGACCCCTTTGGGGATCGAATGACCCTTTCACAGGGTTCGCCTAAGACCATCGGAAAACACATATATAATTACATATTGTTTTTGTGATTAATCACTATGCTTTAATTATGTTCAATTTGTCACAATGAAAATACATCCTGCATGTCAGATATTTACAGTACAATTCATAACAGTAGCAAAATTACAGTTATGAAGTAGCAACGAAAATAATTTTATGGTTGGGGGTCACCACAACACGAGGAACTGTATTAAAGGGTCGCGGCATTAGGAAGGTTGAGAACCACTGCTCTAGAGTCAGAAGACTCTCAAGCAGCCACGGTGTTGGCATGGCCAACTCTCCCTGGGGCTAGAACTCCTGCCCACTTTGGAGAGAAGAGAAGGGCAATAGAGAGACCCGCCTGGCCCCACAAGCAGTCCTCCTGTCCAATTCCCCTAAGGAGCCTTGGTGAACGGGGAGACCAGATCTCCTGAAAAGGCACCCACAGAGCCTCCAGGATCCCCCCACTCCACCCAGATCCCGAGCCCCACAGGCAGCAGCCTCTCACCTGTTGATGGAGCTGACGCTGGGCACCGTGTCATTATCACACACTCGTTCCGCCAGCAGCCGGTCCCTGATCTCCCAGGCAAACATGGTGGGATTTTGGCGTTTATACTCGGCAATTTTTTCCACCACTTTGGGCGTGGCAACCTTTGGTTTGGATCCTCCAATTACTCCAGGCTTGATGCTCCCCGTCTCATAATACCTGGGACCAAGGAGAAAGGAGCTTAGCCATGAGGAACCAGCAACATGGATTTTGACAACAAAATAATAGGCTACTCTGTCGAGGGAACATACAGATCTGCGCGCTGCCCAATCAAGTAGCCACTAGCCGCATGTGGCTTCTGAATATTTAAAATGTGGCTCATTTGAACTGATACATGAACTGGTACATACTGTAAACTTAACACACACCAGATTTTCAAAACTTAGTACCAAAAGAATTTAAAATATCTCATTAATAATTTTTATATTGGCTATATGTTGAGATTATATATATATAATTGAAATTCATTGTACCTGTTTTCCTTTTCTTTTTTAATGTGTTATTAGAAAATTTTAAATTTCATACGTGACTCACATTATATTTCTGTTGGTCAAGACACTACACATTCATTTATTCATTTATATTGATCTACCATTTTACAGTTTACAGAACTCTTTCAAGTCAGTTTTCCCATTTGATCCCCACAGCAGTTCTAAAGCACATAAATGTTTTGAGTGAATGAATGAATACATGAAGAAGTCCCCATCTACAGGTCTAAAACAGAGATCCATAGAGGTTAAACGGCTTGCTCATGGTCACACAAGACCCACTGGATCATGGCCCAGCCTCCTGAGCTACAATTTCCCCAGAAAGTTGGTTTGTACCTTTAATTTGCCAGCTCTCTCATCCCCTAGCACAGTGATGGCGAACCTATGACACGCGTGTCAGAGGTGACACGCGAACTCATTTTTTTGGTTGATTTTTCTTTGTTAAATGGCATTTAAATATATATAATAAATATCAAAAATATAAGTCTTTGTTTTACTATGGTTGCAAATATCAAAAAATTTCTATATGTGACACGGCACCAGAGTTAAGTTAGGGTTTTTCAAAATGCTGACACGCCGAGCTCAAAAGGTTCGTCATCACTGGCCTAGCAGATTCATCTGCCTTCTGTAAAACTGTCCCCTAAAACACAACTTAACTTTTCCATAAGAAACAATCAAACAATAACCCTGGTGTAAACTTAAAGGGAGTGCTGGATTCCAGAATTCTCTGAAACTGGAAGTCAAAACCCAAGCGATCAAAAAACCAGCCCCGAGTCACTCACGGCAGCTCTTCCCAGGACCTCCCCTGCGGTAAATCGCTGCTTCTAAGGGCATTTCCATGCTATCAGCTCTTCCTCGTTAACGCAAATAGGATGTCAGGGTTTTACAGTAAAACCGAGACCAGGGAGAAGAGCGCCGTGAAAGATCATTTCAGAGGGAAAAACGACTTGATTCCTTTTCTGAATCTGAGCTTCGCTGGATGTCTCTCTCAGCATGTGCAGAGGAATTCTTGACTTCCTCTTGCAAAGGAGACTACCTCGCAGTTGAAATTTCTTTTGAAACAGAAAGACATTTTAGAAATGATTGGTAACTTTCAAACCTATCAGCAGTTTATAATTGGTAAAGGAAAGAGGTGATCCGCTCATGGGATGGGTAGGAAAAGTTACCCAGAATAATGGCTGGTTACATTTAAAGAGAGGTTGAGATGCTCAGCCTGGGGAAGTCTGGTGGGGGCCAGGTCAGTGAATATTCTAGAAACAGATGAGATCATTTGGGAGCAGTGATGTGGAAGTGGAAATTCTATTTTTCTCTCAGGAGAGTGACTCATGTACAAATTTGGACCGTAAGGCAAAACTCAACCTGTCCTCCCTCTCTTTGTAACTGCTGAAAAATTGTTATTAGTCACAAACATGTTTTTAGAAATAGTGAAGAAAAATACGCTTTTGCCGGAAGTCTAGAGAAGTCCCTAAATCAAGGCACACGGCAATTGCTGCAGCCTCCAATTATCCTTTCAATTTTACAATAGAAAATCATGTGTTAATATCAACACAATAAGTTATTATTTAGACACAGTGCTCTACGGTTTACAGAGCTCTTCCTTGAATTATCTTGATCCTCTCACCAATCCAAAGAGGCCAGTAGGGACTTATAGAAAGGAAACCCATGATCAGAAGACTAAGTGACTTGTCAAATTTCCTTCTGGAAGTTAGGGGCAGCCCCACCTTTTAAACCTGACTTTGAATCTGGAGTTCCTCCCACTAGAGCAAACTGCTGCTTTGCTTGTAAAAATTTAAAGAATAGTGATAGTAATAATAATCCCTTGCAATTGCAGAAAGCTTTACTGTTTACCAGGAATTTTAACGTGCATTTTTTTTCTTTCATTCACTCAGACACTCAATAGTCACCCTCGTGGGGCAAGGATTATAGACACACGGACAACCCTGTGCTGGGTACTCAATATATGTTAGTTAAATGGAGCTGCAATATCCAGGCAGTAACTCTGAAAAGGGGCAGGATGAAGCTCCCCCCACCCCCAGCGCTTGTCCTGTCTGCATGGCTGGGGTGGCAGAGCTCAGGCTGTCCGCCCATCCCACCTGAGCAGTGCCAACCATAGGAGGCTATGCTCTTGACATGAGAAGTCTCTGTCTTCCTTTTGACTGACACATAAGCCAGACACTTAGGAGGCAAACCTGACACTCCCGGAAACCCCAACCAGCAGCTGTGTCAAGTGAGGACTCGGACTAAATACTGCCCTTTCATCTCAGCAAAACAGTCCCCCGGGCATTCCTTTAGCTTACACGCAACAGATGAGCAGCGCCAACAGCACACAGTGTCGTTCAGTGCAAGGAGCATTAGTTTGGGAGCAAAGGGGTGTAGATGCTGGTCAGCGGCTCTGACCCTAACTTGCTGTGTGACCTGGGCCAGCTCACTTAGACTCTCAGGGCCTCAGTCATCCCATGTGTATATAAGGAGAGGATGTTTGCCCTGCCTGCCTCGCAGGGCTGTTGTGAAGGCAGAAATGCAGAATGGTTAAGAAAAAACTTTGCAAAACGTAACAGCACGTGCAGTGGATTAGAATCCTTTGAGTGTTTATTGCTATGTAACATACGACCCAATTCCCAGTGACCTGAGCCTCCCAGGCAGGCTCTAGTGAAAGAAGACAACAGCCAGGCTTTCAGAGTGGATTTAAAGGGGCCTCACATGCCATCAGGCTGTGCCTCTCAAGCCCCTCTGGAGCTGGAGCTGGAGCTCTGCGGACTGAATGCCCACACGCCTGGCAGACGGCCACCTTCCCGAGATGACGGGGGCCTCTGCCAGCCTTGCCATGCCGCCTCCGAAAACCACGGCCACCACACAGCACACGCTCTTTACAATCTGTCACCCGGTGCGCGCCCATCAAATCCTTTAGTGACCAAAAAAATAAATAAATAAGTCAGTGGACGGAACAGCCCTCGTTCAGAAATTCCCAGTCACACTGTTTTAGGGCTGAACTTGTTTCTTAAAAGGCAGTTCTAATTAGAGTGACATTTTGTCCACTGTGGTTCTTAGTTATGAAAATAATGAGCTATGAAATTCCAATTTATTGTTGACAACTTAAACGGCCAGGCACCGGAGCGGCGCGTAACTTCCGAGTGCCACTCTACCTAGTGACAAATCTATTCTGGGTCGAGAAAGGCTGCCAGCTGAGCCTGGGAAGGTCCCTGTCCCCTTCAGTCTCGGGGGGAGATCTGGAGCCCTCCCGGGCACCAGAACATGAGGACCCGGCATCAAGATGTCCCCTCTCAGAAGGGCTCAGCATCTTGCCCTGAGAAGATTTCAAATAGCCAGCAAAATGTCGGCTCAGCAAAGATGTCTCAGCAAAAAAACAAAGGAAGGGCCTTCTTTCTCTCTCTCTCTCTCCCTCCGTGCAATGAGGAGGCTTCCCAAGAAGATAGCTAAGATCCATTCGGCACTCGGAGTCTGATGCTGAGATAATCTAAAATATTTCCGGTCTTTCTCCTATTTTTGTCTTCATTTCTCTTTCTGTTTCTCTTTTTTAAATTAATCATTCTCTTTTCGCTTGGTTTGGGGGTTTGTTTTGTTTTTTCTCTTTCTCTTTTCTCTGATCTCCTCTCCTCTATTTTCTTCTACTCTCACTCTCATCCGCTAGTCAGGAAAACCACCTTCTAATAAGAACACCGTGGTTGACGTCCTGTCTTCCTCCTTGAACTCTGCCTGGTGCTCGTTTGCTACTGAGTGCTAAACAGGAGTGATGCCCACAGCGTCTGCGGCTGAGGTGACCCGAGATGGGCAGGCGAATGAGGAATAAACCCGGGGATCAAGGTCCCTAAAGGGGCTTCCTTCCAGACCTCTGGCCTAAAACTTCCTCTTGGTCTCCAGCAAGGCCCCCCAAGGTTAGCAACTGTCCTTCCCCTTTCATTTGAAAGAATTTTTTAAATTCCAGCAAGTAGAAGGGAAAGGGCAAGCAAAAAGTCACAATGTCACTGACATCCTTCAAAATATTTATTTCCTATCCAGGCATCTGTTCTCAAACCATCATGCAAGCTGCAGGACAAAGGTTGTTCTCTGGCCCAGGGAGAGAAATCCTATGAGAGCACTGAACAGCTATCACCGGAGACTGCTCCTAGTTGCCAGGGCAAACCTCTAACTTCACGTGGCTGGCAACAAACCTGTGGCTTTGGTTTGGGGGAATGGTGAGATGCCCGTGATCTGGGAACCCTATGCTCTCTTCCCAGCCTGGGTACTGACTGGCTGGTTAGATCTGGGCCAGTCACTTTGCCTCTCTCGGTTTGTTTCCTCCTTTCGAAACTGCTTCCCTGGATGGTGCTGTCTCGCTCACCACAGAAAATCAACACGAAGAACGCTAAAGGCTGCACCGCCCTCTGGGAGAATCAGCATTGTTAGTATTTTGCTTGCAGCAAATCGCTGGGTCAAGTGGCAACTTTCAAATGTCAGACTTGAGAGTTGGTGTCTGTTTGGGTTTTTTGTTGTTGTTGTTTTTCCTCCTCTAATTTAATATATACTTAAGATGCCTGTCGCTATGAAAGAAACAAAACATAGAAGAAAAATACTGCAGCCCAACATGAGGTTGATGATAGTCCACAACTGAAAATGACAGATGACTTTGTCAGAATGGACTGTGTTTTTGAAAACATTAAAATGAAAAACTGAACTCTGGTCATTTTGGTGATTTTAACTTGTGGATTTTCCACCCAGCCCTGCCCAGGTCCTGAGCTCACCTAAAATGCGCAGGGGAAGTTCCCAAGAACCTCTTACTCTTGGGTCGTTTGGAATAATTTACCAGGCTTTCAGAAAACAGGCCATCCCTCCTGACTGAGTCCCTCTACCCCCATGTCACTGGGGTTTTCCAGGACTAGTTTGAACTGAGAGGCCTCGAAAGGGCTTTGCAAACTCTAAAGTGCTGTGCGTGTGGGTGAAATGCCACAATGATTCTCACTGTGACCCTGCCACACTGGACAGTGGCTGGGTCATGTTTTAGGTGATTATTTTAAAAATCAAGGGAAACCTGGAGCTCCTGCCTTTACCTGCCAAGGATTTTGCTGACACAACCATGGCTGACCCGAAGCTGCCTGGAGATGTCGCAGGGCCTGACACCTTGATGAGCAAGTTCCACTATCCTTTGGCGGACTACATCCGGGAGTGGCCTTCCATTCACAAAAACTCCCCCAAGCTGATTCACTCCTCCATGTCCTGAAACAGATGAGAAACAGAAAGCGAGGGAATGGGTGGTTAGAACCAGTCACATAGAAGGGGAAGGCCTGTCGGGAACATTCAGAGCCCCTCAGATCAGAAATGGCTGCAGGCTGGACATCTTGAGCCTGGAGTCTGATCATGCAGACTACATTAATACCTCACATTGCTTTGTAAAAATAACCTTAGCCTTTGTCAATCTTCAGCCAGTCAATTGGGCTAATGAGGGCGAGCATCTCCATACTATGCTTCCTTTAGTTACTAGCATTTTCTGTGCAATTCTTTTTTTAACAATGGAATATGTGAAGACCTCAGTCTATACTAGGGACACACCTTATTACATACATGATACTGAGGTCTAAGCAAAAGCCTCAGGAGAAAATATATTTTAAAATACATCAAATTTAAAGACATTTTAAAAAATAAAACTCTTCCTTTTAACAAATATCTTCAAAAGTGAAAGGGACTACCTCAATAAACCTAGATTTCGGGGGTGGGAATTTTTTTTTTAAATCAACAATCTGATTAAGGGTTACGTACTTTTTAAAAATAGTATCTGCACGGTGCTGAGACAAAACCCAGCCACTGCCTTGATAAAAACACTTCCTTTAATTACATACCCAATAAAACTGAGGGGGAAATAAGCAAACAAAAAAGATGAGGCTGATGTGCAGGTCGACCACTGTACCCTCGCAGAGCACACAAAAGAAATGGATTGGAGGATCACATTTATTTCACCCTATTGCACTAGGATTTGCTATGAAGAAGTTTCCCTAAAAATTTTTGGAGTGTTTTGCAATTGACAAGCAGCTATGGGTTGGTTCAGGGGAAATAAAGACGGCTTCTCAACCCAGGTTTTACAGAGGCTCTGGGACAAATTTTATGTAGCGTCTGGGAAAGTATCTCCCCCACCCCATTAAGCTTCCTTACATCTGGAGGGAAACAAGGATAGAAGTAACTGAAGCGCCAACCCAGTAAACACAGGGGGTAGCAACAATATTGATCTTGTAGTTATTAATCAGCCACTGACATCACTGGAGCCAAAAGCTAAGTCCAAGCATTTACCAATGCTGCTGGCAGCTCAGAGGCCAGGAGGGGGAATAAACTAAACTGAGACTTGCCTGGGACTGGGCTATACCAGGGAAGCCACGGCATCTTGGAGGACACACACACACACACACACACACACACACCCCGCAACTCTAAAACATAAAATAGCCACCTCAGTCTCAGCTCTCCACCTCCTCCCCAGCACTCAAATACTATTCAGTTTCATGAACAATATCTGAAATGGACGGGGGAAAGGAATCCATAACATAACCTATTTTTTTAAATGCCAAACCAATTCACTGAAGTTTCTCAGGAGAGTCTGAATTGAATATTTGCCCAAATTTCCAACCTCAGGCTGATTTCAAGGGAAAACACAATTTTTATAGATAACAACAGTACTTAATTCTAGTTCTAAGCTGAATTTCCCTCTGATTTTCGAAATGAACTTTAGTTGGTTTTGATTGTTCTAAAGCACTCCAGACACAAGAAAAGGAGAAACCATCTCAAACAGGACATTGCAGTTAGGAATATGATTGCTTAGTTCATCTAAAATCGAAAGACTGTAGCCACCCCTGGTCAAGGGTCTTAAGAAAGCTTTGTTCTGGGGTTGGGAGCATCTAATAAAAAAGGTTGTATGGATCTTTCAAGAACAGGTTGGATTTAAGAAGAAAGTAAATTCAAAATTGGTACAAGCTCATCTGAAAGGACAAAAAAAGGAAGCTAAAAGCCCTCAGCACACTTTTAAGATAACCTGTCAGTCCAGGCATTGTAGCCCATCTGCAATAGCCTGTTCCCTATACCACTGGCAATTTAAACTTTCTGCCCAAAACACAATGCCAACCTTCAGAGCAGTTCAAGAGCGGTTCTGTAAGACATTTGTGAGCTTTGGGGACCCCTTGTATCATGGACACTCTAAGTGACAGCAAGCCCTCTACTCCTGACCACAAATCTAGGTTACCAATACTTTTCCAGAGTCGGATCCACATGTCCACAGCTGACCAGACCCAGGGTAACCTGGGATCCCCCTGGAAAGGACCCCAAACTCACTTAGCTCTCTCTGCCTCTTTCATAGTCTTATCCAATAAAGCAGGGGTGAGGAAGGTCCACCCCCAGGGCCGTATAAGGCCAGAGAAATCATTTGGTTTGGTCCTGCTAAGGCTTTAGGGGTGAATTAATTAAATGTTTGCCCAAATACAGCAGGCTAATTTTTAAGTTGATAATTCTGTATGGCCCGCCAATGATGTTATAAATATCCAAATGGCCCTTGGCAGAATAAAAGATTCCCCACCCCTGCTATAGAGCATTTCAAGGGTGGTAGGGAGATGATTTACAACTGTGATCTGAGAAGGTAATGTCTCCCACTTACCCTGAGATTAGAAAGAAATAAAACTAGATGCCTGAGAGAGGGGAGGCATGATGGGGAAAGAAAAGAGGAGAAGTGAGGTATGGAGGGAAAGGGTGCAAAGAGTGGGAACAGACAGCAAGAAACGAGAGATTGGAAAGGAAGCCTCAAGTTAGGAAGGCAGAGGAGGAGAAAATGGAATGGATTAGCCAAAACAGGTGAAGAAAAGACAGGTGAGTATGATGCACAGAGGGAAGCAAGGAGACCAGAAGAAAAAATGGAGGACAGATTCCCCAGTAAAGGGCAGGGGACTTCTGTGGAGGGGGGGTGGGGGGCTTTGTTTTCTGGAACCCTAGGTCCAGCCCTGCATCTCCTGACAGAACACAAGTCCAGCCTCTACTTCCTGTGGACTCCAGCTGGGTGAGAGTTCATCCCATAGAGGGTGCTGGAGGCAGACACAGACTCAGCTACTCTTTTCAGGGCCAAGTAGAATTTACAGAAAGACTGACACAAAGATAGATGGAACCAACTCAAGGCAAAGACCAGGAAACAGACACAGATACAAGGGAAACAGCCCTGCCCCCACAGGACTGGCAGCCCTGCCCCCACGGGGGGGGGCGGGATGGTTGAATTGCAGATGCCCCTGGGGCCTTTGTGGCTCTGGTCTGGAAGGGCCAGCCCCCACAGATGCTCCTCCGGCCCAGATAAGAGCATGCTGCCCACGAGGCCCTGTCTACACCCTAGACTGGGCATAGGGTCTTAGAGAGAGGGTCTCTACGGACACAGTCACAGATTAAACTCCAGGACTTAGAGACATTGAAATTTCTCTTAGTGGTCCCTGAGAGAATGAATGAAGGGACACACAAACATGCCAACAGGAACACAGGGAAGAGCAGGGGTGAAATTTCATTAATGGACTCTTAAATGACAGACAGATGCTGACACACACCGACAGTCAGGCCATAGATACAGAAATAGTTCAACCAGACACAGCACCTTGCACATGTGTGTACCCACCCAGACATTCCACTCTCCTCTTTCTGGAACCTAAGCCCCTCACCCTCCTCTTCTGTAAATCCTTGAAGACCCAAGAACCAGCTCCAGGTTTACCCATGTGAACTTCCTATCAGTGCTTTTGTCTCTCTGGCCTCAATATCATACTCCATAAAATGGGTGTAACTAAAGGTTTAGACAAATCTCAAGTAAAAGTGCTTTATAACTGGTAAGCATACCTGAGGGAGGGAAACATCTGGGGAGGGTTGTGCTGATCAAAGTGATGAGCCTGGAATAGGGGGTGGGGGCAGGGGAACTCTGAAGCCCATTTCCAGGCAGTGCCTGCCCCTGCCCCATGGGCACACCATCTCTCCCACACAAAGCTGTCCTGTTCTGATGGAGGGGAGAAAGAGGGTAGGAGCGTGAAACTGACCAGGGCCAAGAAGGGAGATGAGGAGATGGGACTTGGTCTGAGCCCCTATTACCCCAGGGACCTCTAAGGGATCTACTGCATACCCCACTCCCCACCTCCAATCACCAACAAACTGAGGCCCTGGAGGGCACATTGTGCAAGCAAAGAGCTTTGGACGTCAGAACCAAGCAGGCCCTGGAAGCTAGGCTGGCTGGGGCCCAGCCCCCACCGTACTGCCAGGGAGTTGAAGATGGGAGGAGGGAGCACTCTCCAGGGGGCACATGAAGGCCAGGACAAGGAGGGACAGATACACAGCATTAGCGGTTGGCTAACAGCATCTGGAAGTAGCTGCCTTCTCCACCCTCAAGATCACCGGGTCTGACGCTCTCTCTCCAAGGGCTTGTGCAAAATCTCTGGGGCGCCCCTCTGTATAGAAGGAGGCAGTGAGGGTCTGTTGATCTCCCCCCACTCCGTCCCCCACAAGGAGAGAAGTGCAGGGGTCAGCCCTCCCCATTCTGTCCCCCAATCTCTCCTTGGCTAAGAGCTTGCCCAGCAGAGTATTGACCCCAACTCGTTTGTTTCCTGGCTCACTCTGTGAGATCAGAGCCTCTCCGGAGCCCAGCTCAAGTGTGCGCAGGACAGGGCTGCGGGGGGCGCTGGGGTCACCACGATTGGAAACTGTTTTGGCACAAGCCCCGGAGGATGAGGAATCGTTTGGGCTGGGACCGGAGAAAGCGGCTTCACTGCGCAAACCTCCGCGCGGCTCTGGTGGATTACCTCCGATTCGGGAAATGGACACAAAGAGAAACACCTGCGGGCAGTCAGCCCCTATCGCCCGGATCAGCATTTCTCTGCCTGCCAGGCCGCTCGGCCCTCCGGGTGAAAAAGGACCAATTCGCCCAGGGAAGCTCGCCTTCTCTCCAGCCGGGTCTCTGCTGCCTTTGTTAAACAGGGGGCCCAGGGCTGGTAAGCAGGATTTGAGGCTGAGGAGAAGCTGGCTTGCGGAGGGCTCCCAGCCAGGGAGCAACCCTGTGACCTGCGGCCCCGCGGGGACCCCAGCTGGGCACCGGCTGGATGCCGCCCAAGCCTGGCGCCTTGCTCTGGCCCAGCTCTGCAGCGCGCAGAGGGGAAACGCGATTCGTTCCACTTGGTATTTCCTTGAAATCCCCGAGTCTAATCCGGCGCTAACTCGCCGTGAGAGAA